GGAGGGCCCACGCCTGTGGTCCCACAGTGAGACGCCACCCCACCCACCAGGATGACCATTATAAAACAAACAGGTAGCTGGCATGGTGACCCACGCTTGTAACGCCAGCATGTTGGGAGGCCAAGGCAGGCCTATTACTTGAGGCTGGGATTTTGAGAAACAAAGCAGACAAAACAGACTGTGGCCTGGTGACTGCAGCCTGTAATTCCTGCACTTTGGCAGACTGCTGAGGTGGAAGGATCGCTTGAGCCCAGGTGTTTTTGACCAGGCTGCACAACATTGCGAGACCCCATCTCTACCAGCACTGGCGTGCTCATTCTAAAACTAGAAAACATTTGTTCTTAATTTTAACAACAGGCAAACGTCCCTGCAGGCAACTTCAGTTCAGCTGCAGATTGCGGGGTCTTGTTTTTCAGTGTGAATGTTCTGCATCGGTGTGGGATGATGTGTGTGAAAAGTTGTTTTTGTTTCCTTCTAGGTCGGATGTTTATCTTTTATGGGAATAAGACCTCCACGCAGTTCCTGAATTTTACCCCAACACTCATCTGCTCAGACGACCTTCAGCCTCATATCCTTGGGTGCATTGCCCCCGAGCCCACACACGCAGTAACTTGGGGCTAGAGGAGACTTGCGAGGAAGTTTTTTGGTTTTCTTGTTTTGTTAAAATAGCAAGATAATTCCAGATGCTATTTGAAAATCAGACCATCATCATCTGCCGATGGTATTGAGCAGACGAAAGAAATCAGGCAGTATTCGTATGAGTTTTGACAATACATTTAAAAGTGATGTGTGTTTGCCTCTTGCCCTGCATCTGGCTAACTGGAGTCCCTTTCTTTTTCATCTGGCTTTATTCTCCTGTGACTTTATCTTTACACCCTCCTCCCTGACGTCTCCCAGACGGAGCTGCTGCTTGCAGAGCGTGGGAGGCACTGGCGGGAACCAGAGTGAGGCTCGCACCCCGGCAGAGCCCGTGTGCTTCTGTAGGGCTTTTAGACTGAAAAGAAGTGACACTAGAACTTCCCCAGCTAAAAGAGGGACACTAACATGTCTTCCTCTAAGGACATCCCCACCAGAGAGAGTCAGCATGAAGGCCCCAGCTTGACCAGAGACGGTGACGTCTGGGGATTTGTGGTCAGAGGTCTGAGTGAAGCAGCGTCCTCCTTGGCACTGGCTGGTCTGTGTTCATGTTAGCACGTTTTAATGCAGACCGTTCAAGCTAACTGTTCAAAACAGTCATTAAAGATACACACATGTGGGATCACGTGAAGTGAAGACTGTTGAGGACCAGGAGTGGAAGCTCTGGCTCCTGCTGTGCCCTCTGTAGGGGTCTCTCCCTTGGGGTGTGCTGGGCTCCAGACAGCACAGGCCCAGAGGGAGGGAGAGGCCGCACCCACTGCCTCCGGACGCAGCCTCGCTGGTGTCACACGTTTCTTCAGGAGAGGCTGTGGGCAAACACTTGTTTTCCAGCATGAAAACCATGCTGATCACAGCATGGCGGGCCCTTTTCTGAGTCTCGCTGTCTTAGGAGCCTACTTCCCAGGATTCTTTAAGTTTCCTGTCATACTAAGCACCAGTTTCTGCAAACAGTGACAAAAATTGTGTATGTGGGAACCAGAGCTGAGGCTGACAGAATGGAACAGATAAGTAAAATAGCCCGTGTATAATCTAAGCGACTTTGTAAAATGGAGGCGTCATTTTGGGAGCGTGAGATGCAGCAGTGTGTTGAGGGTTGTCTGGTGGGCGGGACCCAGCCTGGGTGGAAGGGCAGGGCCGGGTGGAGTGGCTGCCCCTCGACTGTAGCTGGTGGTCCTGGAGTGTGGTGCGTGTGCTGCCTACGCAGGCCACGCTGGGATCTAGTCCGGCCCGTTTCTGCCACTGCCACTGGGGCTTGCTTGGCTGGTTTCCTTAATGCGCACACACCTGAACCTGCAGACCAAGCCTGTGGACCCGACCGTGGAGGGGGGCGCACAGGTGCAGCAGGTGGTCAACATAGAGTGCGTGTCCGACTTCACAGAGGCGCCGGTCCTCAGCATTCAGTTCAGGTCAGAGCGTGTGCGCTCCGGGCCAAGGAGTATGTGCGGGCACTTGGGCTCCAGCGGCCCCCACTGTGCCCGCACCGCATCCTTCCTGAGGGGACCCAGGGCCTACGGGTGTGGCCTGAGCTGCTGCTGCCCCCAGCTCTGCAGAGTGCAGGAAACCAGGGGAGGCGAAGCCCCAGGCTCCGGGACGGCAGGCAGCACCCAAACGGGGCCTGCTAGGATCTTCATGGGCACTACGGGGCCCACCTCATGGGGTGGCAGACAGCCCGGGCCCCGGAGCCACCTCCCTGGCTTGGTGCCAGGTGACAGCCGCAGGGCCAGGGCAGCTGGTTTCCTTCGGACACTGGCCTTGGGGGTGCGTTTTTCTGCAGTAGAGCTCAGATCATACCACTCTGCTTATTTTTTAAAACGTAGGATTTTCGTGTTTCGACTGTTTGCTACTTCCCCTTTTCAGTGACTACAACAGAGCGTATACGGGCAGCCTGTCCCCTGCCAGGTGTCTGCAAAGTTAGGGATGTTTAGAAAAGCACACTTCGATTATTTTTTTTGAGACAGGGTCTTGCCCTATCACCAGGCTGGAGTGCAGTGGCGCCATCTCAGCTCACCACAACCTCTGCCTCCCGGGTTCAAGCAATCGTCCTGCCTCAGCCTCCCGAGGAGCTGGGATTACTGGCATGAGCCACCATGCCTGGCTAATTTTTTTTTGTATTTTTAGTAGAGACAGGGTTTTTCCGTGTTGGTCAGGCTGGTCTCGAACTCCTGACCTCAGGTGATCTGCCTGCCTCCGTCTCCCAGAGTGCTGGGATTACAGGTGTAAACAGCCACGCCCGGCTTAGAAAAGCACACTTTCTGACATTAAAAATACAGAGAACTTAAGGTTGTTTACTGTAAAGTTTGGAGACATAGACATGCAAAGTTTTGTTTTATTTGTGCAAATGCCTTTGTGTTTTCAAAGAAAAAGAAATCACACTGTTTACACAGACTTGGAATTTTGGGAAACAGATTACTGGGGAGAAGTGAGGCACTGGGGTGTCCTGCCTTTGTGCACGGCCCTGGCCTGCCCTCCTGCCTGTGGGCGACACTGGACACCGAGCTACCTCGGCCCCCCTCTGGTGGGTGGTGATGGGTGGGCACACCTCACCCAGGCCGTTTCCGGCCCCTGAGGCGCTCGGAGGAGGAGCTGACTGTCTCTTTCTGCTGCTGCTGCTTGCAGGTATGGGGGCACCTTCCAGAATGTTTCTGTGCAGCTGCCCATCACGCTTAACAAGTTCTTCCAGCCCACAGAAATGGCTTCTCAGGATTTCTTTCAACGTTGGAAGCAGTTGAGCAAGTGAGAACCTGTTTTCCTGTAGGGTCAGGGTGGGGGCGGGGGGTCATTTGAACAGGTGGGCTTTGGTCTCTGGCCTGGCTGAGAACACTGGCCTTGGTTGCTGTTTCTCAGTCCACAACAGGAAGTCCAGAACATCTTCAAGGCGAAGCACCCCATGGACACAGAGGTCACCAAAGCCAAGGTAGTGCGTCTTGAGGGGCCTTGGGGGACGCGGGACACGCACCTGCGACGGGCGCCGGCCCTCACCCTCCTGTTTGTTCGGACAGATCATTGGATTCGGTTCTGCACTTCTAGAAGAAGTCGATCCCAATCCTGCGAATTTCGTGGGAGCCGGAATCATACACACGAAAACCACCCAGATTGGATGCCTGCTGCGCCTGGAGCCAAACCTGCAAGCCCAGGTCAGGCCCTGGGGAAATGGCTGAGCACGCTCGAGTGGATTCTGACAGTTCTCATGGTGACACGTAGCTCTCCAGTGCAGTTCCGGCAGCTGCGACATGTGTGCCCATCCAGCCCTACCCTGTCAGTATGTGATCAGGTCCCAGCCTCACCACAGCCGGCCCCGGGGAGCCTCGTCCCACCACGGAGCAGCCTGGGCCTGGGCTGTGGCTCTCCCAGCTGCCACGTGCGTCGGAAGCTCTTCCTCTGGGTGACTGCCTCATCCCGTCTGTCCACGTCCTGTTCTGTCGATGGACGCCTGTCTGCGTTTCACTCGGGCAGCACCCAGGAGTGTTTGTGCTTAGCGCTGCCAAAGCTGCCCCCCAGCTTCCCCAGGTGGCCGCACACTGCACATTCCCGCTAGCTGCGTGTGAGGCACCAGGTGCTGCCAAGCCAGCCCGCAGTTTCTGTGCCGACTGTTGTGTGGTGCTTAGGCCTCTGCTGAGCTGTGGGTGCCTCCAGCGTGCGTTCCCTGGGTGTGGCCCACAGGGTTCCCGCATGGCAGGGCTGGACCTGCGGGCCTGTGAGCCCCGGCGTGCCCGCTGACCCGCTGTCCTGCTGTGCTCTGTTTCAGATGTACCGGCTCACGCTGCGGACGAGTAAGGAAGCCGTTTCCCAGAGATTATGTGAATTGCTGTCGGCGCAGTTCTAGTGGCAAGGAGGGAAGGCCAGGCTCGTGTGTCTTGCGTTTCCTTCGTCTGTGCTGTCTGTCTTCCTGGCCATCCTGCAGATGGGCGCCTCGTGTCCAGCGTCATAGCACATGGCGCCTCCCCGCCCCGCTGCTCCGGACCCCTCCCCTCTGGGCTGGACAGGAACACGCGTGTGTGGCTCAGGAGAAAAGCTCAGCCTGGACTGTGGCAGCCACGGCAGAAGGTGGATTTTGGGATCAGTTTTTATAAAAATCAAGACAGTTCTGTGGTTAAATCTACAAATTAAAGGGAAATTAGAAGTTGACGTGAACGTGGTGTTTGTGGGAGTGTTGCTGAGCTGCCCCATGCTGCCGCCCACCTGCCTTGGAGCCTTTGGAAGCAGCAGCACGGCTGCACATCGCAGGGGCTGCACCTCAGTGTGGCCGTCCTGGTGGCTGTGCGCCTGGCATCATCCTGGGCTCTTGGGAGGAGCACGGCCGCCCCGGGTTTGCCGCAGCCCCAGCTAGACAGTCTTCCTGGTTGGGATTTTGATGTAGAATATAGAAACATTTGTATTTGTAATGACTTCTGGCAAAACCACATGTCCTGGTGGAATGTCATGGTTTTCCTGTCCCAGCTCCTGGTCGGGAAGGGCATCTGTCACGCTCCTGCAGTTGCTGGGGCCTCAGACGTGCAGCGGGGGGAGGAGCATCCTGCTGGCCCCACGAGGCGTGCTCGCCACCTGCCTTCGGGCTCCGATGAGTGCCCTGGCCCCTCGGGGCCCCCAGGACTCCAGGGTAAAGCGTGGGCTGTGGTGCAAAACTCTCTCTCCTGTCAGAGTGGGCGTCCCCAGGCCACGGTGCAGGCCTGAGTGCTTCCAGTGGTCTGTCCAGTGGTCCTGGTGGGAAGCCTCTGCGTGGTCAGGAAGTGAAGGGGCCGCTGGCCGCGAGCCTGTGTGCCACCCGCGGCTTGGCTCTCACCCGTCATCTGGACTCAGCACCCAGGCTGCACATCTGACCCTCAGAGGCGAGAGAGTGGGGCCAGCTGCGGAGCCATGGCTGGGGCCCTGCGCTCTGTCCCCGGGACAGGGGCCTTGTCTGTCCTAAACACGCCCAGCACTGGTTCCTGTTTCTTGACGTGCTGCGGAGGTGACACACCTGCATGAGGCTTTTACCCTGGCTGTCAGCCTCCTGCTGTGCGGGTCCTGGAGCGGCTGCAGGGGCTCTCGGACCTCTCGGTCCCCACACCTCCATGCAGTGATGTGGCCTGTGGTGTCTGCTCTCCTGCTGTGTTGGACTTTGATCACAGGGTAGCCATGTCAGTGACGTGCACCCCTCACACTGGCCACTCTGGGTCCTGCGGTGCCAGGTGTGACTCACGCAGTGCTGGGCTTGTGCTGCAGTTGGCGGCGTGGGCCTCGGTCTGGTGTCCCAGCTGCTGGGCGGTGCTCTGCTGTGGGCGACACCTGCAGGCCGTGTGTGCTGCCATCCGTCTTCCGTGTCCCTTAACCCCTCCCATGATCGGAGGAAAGGCTGCTCCCCAAGGCACCGCTTCCCTATGGGGCGATGCAGAGGGCCCCTTGGTGTGGCCTTCCTCATCAAAGAAAAAGGCTAGAACAGTGCCCGGATCGTGGACGGTCTTTGGGGGAAGCACCCCACGTAACCCTGTAGCTCCCCGGGGCCACGTGAGGTGCGGTCCTTGAGGTCCCCACTGTGTTGGAGGTGGGCCTGTCCTTTGGCGCGTGACGTGCCCTTGGCTCTGCCCATTTGATTTTGGGTGTGTGGTGGAGCTTTTGGGGACTTAGGTCCTGTGGGAACCCCTTCAGCCTGGCCTCGGGGCTCCCGCTGTGCAGTGTGTTGGGGTGCTGCCAGGGCTCCCTCCCATTCTTGGCAGAATGGGCCTGCCAAGCTGCACGTGGGTGTGAGGGGGCCCCACATGGGATCTCCTGGTCGATCCCACCACAGATGGAGCAGAGGGGTCCGTGGGCAGATGGGGGTGGTCCCCGGGGGACGGTGTCTTTGCCCGAGATGGGACAGTCCTGGTGCAGGGAGGGGAGGGCCCGGGGCCAGAGCCAGCTTCTCTTCTCAGCCCAGCCCCAGAGCGCAGGGCCCACAGGGTGCAGGTGTGCGGTGGGTGCCTCAGGTCGAAGGGGCTGGGGAGAGGCAAAAGCAGTGCTCAGGGACCAGTCTCTGTGCCTTGATAAGAACCAGTTTATTTGGAGTCTCTGGCCAGGTGACGCTGTCTTCCCAGGAGAAGCTGCTGAGGACGGTGCGGTGCTGGTGGGGAGGGGGCTCCTGGCTGGCTGGGAGCGGGGGTGGCTTCCCTACCTTCCCTGCCACTCTCTGTCCTCCCTGACCCTGGGAGGCCCCTTCTCTGGGCCGGTGCCTGCCTGGGTCTCTTGCCCCCAGCTCTTTGCAGGTTCCCATGTTGTCCCCGCCCCCAATGGGTCTGGCCCAGCACCTGCTTCGCAGCCTCATCTGCAGCGTTCTGGGCCCAGCAGGGCTGGGGTCCAGCTCAGAGGCTGGGAGGTGTTGGACAGCAGACAGGGGTGGTTGGGAGTGCCCTGTGTGCCTGGGAGGGTCCGTGGCCACTGCCCACCTCAGTCCCGCTCAGCTGGGTCAGGGTCTGCAGGAGTGTGGTGGTCTGAACCTCCGCTTGGCAGCCTCTCTCCCACCAGTGTCTCAGGTGAGCCACGGCCGAGGGCTCTTGGGGGCCAGGGCTGGTGACCAGGGACGCAGCTGCCGGCACGAGTGGGAAGGGGCTGGTGGGAGGGGTTGTCCTTCTCTGTCATCTGCAGCCGTTCACTCCCAGGAGACCAGGCAGCGAGCCTGCTAGTGTCCACAGCTCACAGAGCTGCACACGCAACGGCTGAACACCTGCAGGGTGAGCACGAGCCGCCGGCCAGGCGCGCTGGGGTCTGGGCAGGGCAGCTCGAGCTGCTGCTCGTGGGAATGGAGTGGGCGGCAGCAGCTGCAGCGGGCATCCAGCTGCTGGGTGTCGATGTTGAAGCTGCCGAAAAGCCAAGACAGAGCAGGGGTTGTGGCTGCTGCAGGGGCGTGCCTGCGCCCAGAAAGCCTCTCCCTCCCCAGGCCAGCTGGTCCAGAAAGGCCTGGACCTCCCTGCTGACCTCCTGGTCCCAGGGGCCAGGGCAGGCAGTGGGCAGCTGAAGCGCCAAGTGGCTGACCTGACTGGGCAGCAGGTGCCTGTGTGGGAGCCCCTGCCCTGCCCTGGCGCCTCTCTGGGTGGGGTTGTGAACCTTGCTGGCCGTGGGGTGGCCTTGCCTCGTGGACTCACCTGGCAGAGGAAATGCAGACGCCCTCACAGCGGGTCATCGTCACGTTGGCCACACAGCCCTTGAACGTGATCTCCTCCTGCTGCTCCTGCACGCTGCAGACCCCTGGGAGCAGAGTTGGACAGTCAGCAGTGCCCAGGGTGGCATGGAGCGAGGAGGGAGGGGGTCCCTGGCTGGGGACCACATCCCCACCTGCCTCTGAACCTTCCTGCCCAAGGCGTGGCCTCCCCTGGTGGAGCCCCGTAGAGCTTAGATCTCAGCCATGGACAGAGGCGAAGGCCTGCAGCCCCCTGCTTTGTTTTTCCCTCAAAGTCGCGATGCTGGAGTCCGTCAAGGTAGAGAATGTTCTCAGAGGACTCAGCAGGTACTGAGCCCTGGCCTGTGTGAGCCACCCGGGGAGCCCAGCTTCCCTGATGCCCAATCCCAGGCCTGGACACCGACCTGTGGGCATGGGAATCTCTGGTTGGCCGGACCCAGCACCTGCAGGGGGCCGAGGACACGATGTCAGTGACCCCAGAGGGGGACAGATGGTGTTGCGGGTGCTCCACGGGCCCCAGCCAGGGAGGAGGGAAGTGGAGCAGGCCCCATGGTCTGGGATCCTGGAAGGGGTAGGGTGGGGCCTACATGGAAGGCCCAGCCAGCGCCACTGAGAGGCCTGGGCGTGTGGCAGGCAGCATGCAGCTGGCGGGTTGATGCAGACAGTGGCAGCGTCCACATTAGAATCCGCCACTGTGGAGCTTGGGTTTAAAAGTGGAATAGAATTACTGGGCAAGGGCTGGGAGCTGCTGCCCATGTGCCCTCCCCTGGCTGTGCCCAGCTTTGTTTTCCTGGAGCCTGCCTGCCCGCGGCAGAGGGCTTTCTCCGGGAGGGGCCAGGACTCTGGGCGCCTCTACGGGCCCTGCTGTCTGCAGCCACCCTCCCCTCCCAGCTGGCTCCTGCTCCCTTACCTCTGCTTCTTGGGGTCACCTCCCTGGTAACAGCCTCCACCCAACTCCTGGTCTCAGGGAGGGACCCAAACCAGGATTCCCTCAGCCTGCAGCAAGGAACTGCCCCTCACAGGAGAGGCCACGCAGCCAGCTGTGGCATAGCTGCCTAGTGGGGGCCCACTGGGGTGGCTGCTGTGAGAACACCCAGGAGGAAAGGGAGGGACACCCCTGGAACGCGGGGTGAGGTGGATGTGGACGAGGCCTGAGGTGTGCTGTGTCCCCAGGCGGGTTGGGGAGCCGTGGCCTGGGGAGCAGTGGACTCGCTCACAGACAGGAGGCCAGTTGGGGGCCAGGAGGAGCCGTGGCCGAGAATTGGCGCAAGCACCAAGGAGCAGGCGGCCCGGTCGCCACGGCCAGCTCCACCTTCAGCAGCTCCCCTGGGGCGAGGCGGGGGTTGTGTTGGGCTTTTGTCTCTCTCTCTCTGGACTTGGAGGGAGGGCTGTGTGGCTTGAACCCTCGGCCTCGGCCAGCCCTGACATCTCTGAGCACCCACAGGGGCAGCTGTGGAAGGCTTCTGGCAGGTGTCCCTCTGAAGGGAGGCCAGAAGTGCAGCAGGGACAGGGGAATGAGAGCCAGTGCCAGGAAAAGAAAGGTTAGCGGGGGAGGAAGGCCCAATGGGGGAGGCCAGGCACTTGCTGGGTGCCTGTGAGAGGAGAGGAGATGGGAAAGGACCCACAGCCATGTAGGGAAGGTGGGGAACAGGCATGGGGACCTGGAACCACAGGACCGTGAGGGGTAAGCTGAGGCAGGGGCTGACTGGGAGTCACCAGCACAGAGGCGGGGACGGGGCAGGGCCACAGAGATACCACTTACTGGATGAGCTGGGCGTAGTTGTCACGAGAGAAGATACTGAGGCAGAAGCAGGGGTGCTTCCATGCGCAGTGAGGGAGCTGGTCAGGAACCGTGTGGTATGCACCGAGGTGGGACCAGGGTGCCTGGTGGTGAGGTTGGTGATGGGAGAGCTTGGGATACCTGTCACCCCCGAGGTGAGTGACACGAAGCCTGGCGTGGGAACTCGGGTGGTGAGAGAAGTGAAGCGTGAGGTGGTGGACT